GCAACACACACACACACAGTTTCTGTGAGTAAATGAAAGCCATTTAGGTTTTTTTTTTCACATTTATGATTATTAAATACTTCCTAGAACTTCTGTAACACATGTGGTGAAAATAATTGTTGGGACTAGGTGTGGAAAGACAAGTATCAAATGATTTGTGCAGTGTAACAACGACGCAAAACTGAAGGAACAAAACATCAGCAGCCTCACAGACTCCAAAAAGGGACTGGCAGTTACCAAAAGGGAAGGTGGGGAGGTGGGGGGTGGGAGGAAGGGAGGGAGAAGGGGATTGAGGGGCATTATGATTAGTGCACATAATGTTGGGGGGTCATGGAGAACGCAGTACAGCACGGAGAAGACTAGGGACTCTATAGCATCTCACTACCCTGATAGACAGTGAGTACAATGGGGTGGGGGGAGACTTGATAATATGGGTGAATGTAATAACCACAATTTGCTCATACGAAACCTTCAAAAGATTATATATCAATGATACTTTAATTTTAAAAAAATTGTTGTGCCTACATACTTAGAAAACTTTTCTCCTTTGTATGAATGATTTTATCAGGTTTGTGTGATTGCATTGAATTGTGACTGGAAATTAGAATTTGGGAATGGAACATATGTCTATGCTTTTGCCTCTTTGTAGACACAGCGTTATATTCTTGCATGCATTCATTGGTTCATAATTCTCTTTGTTAAGTGTCAGAGAAAGGGGAGAATAGGGAGAGTCATACAAAGAGGAATAAGAGCTCAGGGTTTGGTGAGTGATATACTTGTGAAGTATAACGTAAGGATAAATGTTACTAGTAAGTATTACGGATGAATAGGGAAGAAGTACTTCTTTCTGAGAATCTCAAGAAAAAACATAATGGAAGAAAAATATTTGAATTGGACCTTGAAAAATACATGAATCTTTGTGAGGGATAGCTAGCAGGGAATATTTTGGACATGAGTGGGGGGCATTCTGCACAAGGTCCTGAGGCAGAAACCTCTCTGGAAACAACTGATTTCTTTTTTCTTCTATTTCCTACTTTCAGTCTTCCTTAACTTTATTCAAATGACAGAGATTAAAGCTATACCTCCACACACTTCAAAGATTGCATGGAGCAGAGATTGACAGCACTTTGTAAAGGATTTCTCTGGCCTGCTTTTCTTATAGCAGTGGTTGGTACTCAACCTGTTTGGTGTTTATCCCTGTTCCAACATACCTCAAGGGTACAGAAACTCTCATGAGTAACAGGCTTGTTGGTGTCTCTCAACCAAGGAGAGATGGCAGGTGACTTTTCTCCATCCCACTGAGGATCATCAATATCACTACTGTCTGGAAACAGACAACTGTTGAATGACTCAAAGAAATAACATAGTACTTGCTGATGAAATTAGTTTTAATGGATAATGTCTTATACCTAAAAAAAATTCTGTCCTATATTTCATATGACTAATAAGTCATTTTCCTATTCTGAAAGCTATTCGATAAGATTAGGTACTTTGGAAGTGTCTGCTGGAATGCCACAGAGATAATTAAACTCTACTTAGAGCACTTCCACATTCCTGATATTATAAAATAGCATCATAATCAATCCAATTACCTATCTCAAAATTGGGAAGTCATGGTTGACTTCTTTCTCTCCTTGACATCCAATTAGCAAATCTGTAGTCTAAGGTCTATATCTGAAATTGTCAATAATTTTCTTTTTTACGCTTCTTTCTACTCTTCTTACTCAGGCACATCATCTTTTCTGCTCCCACCTTCATTGATATGGTTCCTCCTTTGTAGCTGCCTCCCTGACCACTGGATAAAGTCCAAATTCGTAAGGATTTCAGAGAAATTTTATATAGTTGAACATAGCTATATTATGTGTATGGGGAACAGATTAAGCACTTGGGCTAAATTTAGGTACAGAAAGGAGAGTAGGTTCTGGTCCAGGCTGTGTTAAGCCTCCATGTGTTTGTGATCCTTTTTGCTTTCTTTTTAGAGTTTACTTCTAGTTCATATATGTGAATTATATCTCAGTAAAGCTGCTATTTAAAAAGTTAAGTACAACATTCTCAAGGAGGAAATTCTCATCTTCAAAAAAGCTAAAATAATCACAAAATTATTAACTACCCTTGGTTTTATAACTAGATTTTTGATGATATAATGTATGCATTTTGGAATACTGTTTTTGTACAAAATTATAAACCTGTAGTCAATAAGTGTCTAATCAAAGTTACAGATGCTTTACTTGTAGATTGCTAATTTCATTGTGGTCTCAAATATTAAAGTTTTGAGATTTACATTTCTTAACATAAATATTTTAGTTGTTTCTCAAAAATTACTACTTATTTTTAAAGTAAGAGTAATAGAAAACAAAATATCCAATGGTTGAACAAATGTTACTATGTAAGCAAAGACAGAGGCCTGCTCAACCAGAATATGCACCAGGAAGCAGTGCCATCTGGAATGGCTCCAAATAATCGAGTCCCTCCACAGTCTGGGCAGGAGCCTCTCCTACTATGGCCTAGCCCCTGACACAAAGTGGACCTTTCATCTTACAGTAACCTTGGATGTTTCCAAGATCACACAGCAAAATACTCCTCTTTTGCTGTGGAATTGTCCTCCACTGCCTTTTTACTACTCCATTGAGTTGAGATTACCTGTTAAAGTTTTTATTTATTCAATGAATGGTTATTGATTAGCTTCAATTTTCTAGGTCTCCTTCTAGCCCATATATATATATATATATATATATATGCTAGAAAACACCAATATATATATACATATTGGTACAAGTTGAAGAGAAAAATGTACAGTGTGGTGAGGAAGACAGATAAATAATCAGAGAACAACATAAACACACAAACAAATAAATATAACATAGTAATCAGTTGCTGTGAAGATTAAAATAAGATTATTTGTGGAAGTGACTTTAGATCCTGAAGAGGTGACAGTAAGCTGAACCCTACATGGCTGCTGTGGAGACTGGTGGGAAGAGAATCCCAGGTGGTAAACCATTGGGTGAAAAACCCCAAAGGTATGAATGAACCTCGAATGTGCTGAGGAAAATAAAGGAGTCCACAATAACTCTGTATGCTTGATTGAACTGGCTGGGGAAATGGTGGTATCAGTAATAGCAGTAGGGAGCAGGGGAAAAGAGGCAGGTTTTGACAAGGGAGATTAATAATCCTATATTGATCCTATGAAGTCTGAGATGCCTGACAGACATTCAAGAAAGGTGGGGGAGTGTAGAGGATGGTACTGCAGAGGTAAATGCTGTCTGAAGAAACTTATTGGCCTAGTGGTTCCTGTCTGACTTAAGAGATTTTGAATTTCAAAGAGATAATCAAAGCAAAGTCGTATAAAAGGATGTGACTGGTAGAAGGCAGAGGCAGGGGTAGACATACAGAGAGACGAGCCAATTAATACAATGATTACATTGTATTATCCGAGCAATTCTGGTGTGATTTTAAAGGTTACATAAGCCTCTATATTGGTGGGTGGGAGACACAGACTTGGCCAGAAAACCAGGTATTAAAATCTATTCTTTTTCAAATAAGGAAAATTTTTGTATATTCCCTCTGTGCCCCCAGTAGTAAGCTTACGTTTTAGTAATGCTAAAAAACAATGGTACAATGAGCACAAACTCTGAACCAGTTTCTCCATATTAATCTGCTTTCCATACTGCAGTAGTTCTAAATCTCAGCAAGACACATCCCTGCTGAAATCTCTTTATGGTCCCTTGCTTGTCTTAGCAGAGAGTTAGACTCCTCACCACAAGGCCCTGCATGCGGGTCCCTGCCAATTTCTCTAGCCTCTCTCCTTGGTACCTCTTGCTCACTGGGCCTGCTGAATTCTCTTCTTTGAAATGTACCTTGTGCTTACTCTAATTGCTAATGCTCTGTCCTCTACCAGGACAAGACAGAGATGCGTCTTGCTTATCTCTTCCCAGAAATATTCTAACTTACACTTCAGGTCTTTGTCAAGATAATACTTCTTTGGAGGAAATTCCTCTAGAAACCCTGCCTTGCCCTCTTGTCCCCAGTCTGATTTAGGTGTCTCTCCTCCAGACATTCCATCATCCTTAGTCCTGCGCACCCATGTTGCAGTGGTCTGCATACTCATGCCAGTCTTGCTGAGGGCAGAGGCCATGGCTGTGTTATTCACTGTTGTTTTCTCCACACTGAGTATAGAGATGGGCATTTAGCATCTAGGGGCTTAATATATATATTGTTGAGAAAGCTTAAAGAACAGTTTTTATACTAGACTATAAGTTCATAGAGGACAGGAACCCTAGACCAGTTTATGGTTCTATCTCAAATTCTAAACATAGTGTGCGTATTCAAAGAATATTGATAGAATTTTTCAACTGAGAGTTCTATTTTAAAGAGTTCTATTTCCCTTGTATGATTTGGATTTTTCGAGAGTGAAGCTTCTGGCAAAGAAACTTGCCACTGTCCTTGTGAAAACTTTGGTCAGATTTTATCCCATGTAGTCATGGATACAAATATCTACATGGATATGTAGACAAATACCTAGGTGAATACTACTGATTCATGACCTCTGTTTGGTCTATTTTGATAAATGAGTTACCATAAAGTATTCCTGCATCTGAACATTATTAAGTGAAATATTCATTATGATACTGTACCTTAGAAAACTTATATGAAAAATGTTTTTTGATGAAAAATGTATGTTCTTTAGACCCATTGAACACTTTAGATATTTATGTTCGTACAACATAGAAATAAGTTTTAGAAATACACTGATCACAGCACAGTGACTGCATTGGGGGTATGGGTGCGGACTTGATAATATGGGTAATAGTAACTACATTGTTTTTTCATGTGAAACCTTCATTAAGTGTGTATATCAATCATACTTTAATAAAAAGAAAAGAAATACACTGATCACAAAGATTAATGTTTTAACATATCAATTCCTTATATTTAAAACACAAACACAAAATCACAATTTACCTGAGACATGTGTCCTAGTAAGTATAAATATTTGTAATTACCTTCCAATGCATAGTTCATGTCCTGAGCAAAAAGGGTCCACATAATTTCAGCACTTATTTTTCCCATGTTCAGTTCTTGAGGAAACCTAAAACCAAACATATATTAGTACATCAAAAAGAATGATATGCCTAAAAAACAGAATATCTCACTTTACATATATACTACATTAATTATTATGCAGTTCATAAATACTTTTATTTGTGAGATTTTCCTTTATAAACTTTCATAGATGGGAATAAAGCTACACACCAGCAGTGTATGGCGATAAACTCAGTTGCTGAGGTACAGGAAAATAGACTCCCTCACATCAGTGACAGAGTAATGGTACCTGGGGCTCCCAATGAATGTCTTAGGCTGCATGTTTGTTTATTTGTCTCTAAAGAGCCCCTTCAGTTTTATCAAATATGCCATTTTCATATATGTCAATTTTGAAGACAGGTCTGATGAATCTAAGCATATGCCACACAATACCAAAAACTACTCACACTCACCCATTAGCCATTTTCCTTGAAGCAAGCTTGCGGGCTTCCATTCTCTATTACCTTAAAATGAATTATTTCAGAAATAGTTCCTTAGTACCCTGGTAAAATGGTCCATGGTATATCTATTAATCTGGACTCCAGATTCCCAAGCAGGTCTGTGTTTTAGATCAAACAAGCTTAGGCTAAATGGCAAGATTGCTACCATTGCTGAATATGTATCCTATTTGCATGTGTTTTCAATCTCATGATAGAGTTCCTAGTAAAATAAGCCCAATGAATGTAATGATCAGGTATTTCCATTATATTGAAAGTACTCATCCTGTTCCAGTATGTAAGACTGAAAGTATATTCTGTTACTGTAGGTGATGGTGACTGCTGTGATATCAAGGGTGGGGGGGCAGAAAAAAGAGTAGCCGGGGGAATAGGAACATGGAGAATAAGTAGAAAATAAAAATGCAAAATGTCAGCTGGCTGAGAGGATATGGGGGAGGTGAGGGCGAGGGGTGGCTAGGCCGAAGAGCACGAGCAAAAAGAGCCACAGATGTATTAAGTAGCCATTGTATTTTCTACCCTTGGGGTGATGTGACTTCAAGAATTGCCTTACGATTCAAAGGGACATTATTACAGCAGTAAGTGCAAATTACTAAACAAAATAAAGCTAAGAGTATTCGATGCAGAAGAGTATACTTGTGCAGTCATTCACAGAAGTTACTTGAAGAAAGTAAGATGTGGGTATTCTTTGAAGGAGGATAAATATTAATTGGTAGAAGAGATAAAGCTGTGTACCCCAGTTAATGGTTGTAATTAGCATAAGAAAAGATTCTCAGAGTGGCTTCCAAAATATTTTTTCTTTAATCTTGAAGCTTTAATCAGATAACTTCAAAACAACAGATCTAAAAATAAGCTGTCTCAGGATTTTCTCAGTTGCTTAAGCAATGTCAAGCAAGTTTGCTTTCCGTTACTAAAGAACTCTTGTTTAAGGGGCTCCTCACTACTATTAAATCCTCAACATGGCAAAACCTAACCCAATACCAAACTACCATTTAAAATAAAAACACCACATTAAAAATATGCACAAGACACATTAAAGGCAAAGGAGTTACACTATTTATATGAGAGGAACTGTTAAAATTCTGTAGGGAATCGATGAATATTAGAATATAGGGAATGAGATAGATGGGTAATTTAAAAAGAAAAAATACAGAAGCCTAATAAATAAAGGAAAAGATGTTCCACCTCTCTAATGTTTGAAGAAATGTGAATTAAAATAATAGCAAAACATTTTTATTGAAGAAACTTTAGACTAGGAAACATTAAAATGATTCTTTTATGACAAAACCAAAAATTTCTAAGCATTGAAAAATCTTCACAAGACTTTTTTTTTGTATTAGCCTATTGATTTTGTCTTGAAATATTTACAATTCAAATGATTAGCTTCATATTTTATGCAATAGTTCCTCTTTAAATTTAAATCTCAAGATCTGTTTTTTGCTGAGCTCTACTTCTATCCAAAAGACAATCTTTGGGTTCTGAGATATTTCCTGACATCAGTTTTAGAAGTTTTGCTTCTAGTATAATCAGGTATAGTTTCCAATTGGTTGTGCTTACCATTATCTAGAGAGATAATTAGATATCTATGCTGGAAAGAAAGGAACTTAAAGCTTGTTTATTTATTTAATAAAGAACAGGGTTTTCTGAAATACATATTTTTATTTTATTTTGTCTCTATGGTACTTTTACGCATTTGCAAATAATTCTCTGGCTCTTTCTTACACATATTCTAGTTAAATTTTTAAAAAGTCACTATTTAGCCCTGAATCTGGATCGCAAACTTTGTCATCAACTTCTGCCACAATCCAGTCATCTCCATTCTTCTGTCCTGTGGACTCTCCCTTTGACACACCTGTTGAAATTTGCCCGTCACTGGACCCTACTGTCACAATCCCAATTCAAGACTTTACCCTCACTTGGCTCACCATTTGCACTATTCATTTATCTATTTGCCTTCATCTCTCTCTTTTCCTACATATTCTGTATATTACCTCCCAATTTTCCTTTCAAAAACATAGGCTATAATATGTTTTTATTCAAGTATAGTTTATGCACAAATCATATCAATTTCAGATAAACAACTTAGTGATTATCAATTGCTTATGTTACTAAATACTTGCCATGAAAAGTATAGTTGCCATCTGTCACCCCCCAAAAAAGACTACAATTTTATGAGTTATATTTCCTATTCTATACTTCCATCCTTTGACTAATTATTTTAAAATTTAAAGTTTGTACCTCTTCATGTTTTTCACATGTTCCCCCAGCTCCCTGTGTTTATGAGTCTATTCTGTTTTGTTTGTTTTGTTTTTCAGAGTCCACATATAAGTGAAACCATAAGGTATTCATCTTTTTCAGACTTAATTCACTTAGCATAATACACTCTAGGTCCATCCATGTTGCCTCAAATGGCAAGATTTCCTTCTTTTTCGTGGCTGAATAATATTCCATTGTATATATGTACCAACACTTCTTTATTCATTCATGTATTTGATGGACATTTTGGTTGCTTCCATATACTGGCTATTGTAAACAATGCTGCAGTAAACACAGTAGTGCATATATCTTTTCAAATTGATGATTTTTCTTTAAGTGGATTCTCAGAAGTGGTATTTCTGGGTTGTGTGGTATTTCTATTTTTATTTTTTTGAGAAACCTTCATACTGCTTTTCATAGTGACTGTATCAATTTGTAATCCCACTAGCAGTGTATGAGGGGTCTCCTTTCTCCACACCCTTGCCAACTCATATTATTTGTTGTCTTGTTTATACTAGCCATTACACTAACTTGTGTAAGGTGCTATCTCATTATAGTTTTGATTTGCATATCCCTGATAATTGAAAAAGACAGTCTCTTCAACAAATAGTGCTGGGAAAACTGGACAGCTACATGCAAAAGAATGAAACTGGATCACTGTCTGATACCATATAGAAACATAAACTCAAAATGGATAAAAGGCCTAAATATAAGATCTAGAACCATAAAACTAGTAGAAAAAAATATAGGCAGTAATCTTGAACATCAACATTAGGAAATGTTTCTGGATATGTCTCCCCAGGCAAAAGAAATAAAAGCAAAAATAAATAAGTTAGACTACATCAAACTAAAGAGCTTCTGCACAGCAAAGGAAATAATCCACAAAATGAAAAGGCAGCCTAATGTAGGGTAGAATATATTTGCGCATGATGTGTCTGATAAGGGGCTTATATCCAAAATATATAAAGAACTCATACAACTCAACACCAAAAAACAAGTAATTTAATTAAAAAATGGGCAGAGGACTTGAACAGATATTTTTCCAAACAGACATTCAGGTGGATTTTTCAGAGTCCACATATAAGTGAAACCATAAGGTATTCATCTTTTTCAGACTTAATTCACTTAGCATAATACACTCTAGGTCCATCCATGTTGCCTCAAATGGCAAGATTTCCTTCTTTTTCGTGGCTGAATAATATTCCATTGAATATATGTACCAACACTTCTTTATTCATTCATGTATTTGATGGACATTTTGGTTGCTTCCATATACTGGCTATTGTAAACAATGCTGCAGTAAACACAGTAGTGCATATATCTTTTCAAATTGATGATTTTTCTTTAAGTGGATTCTCAGAAGTGGTATTTCTGGGTTGTGTGGTATTTCTATTTTTATTTTTTTGAGAAACCTTCATACTGCTTTTCATAGTGACTGTATCAATTTGTAATCCCACTAGCAGTGTATGAGGGGTCTCCTTTCTCCACACCCTTGCCAACTCATATTATTTGTTGTCTTGTTTATACTAGCCATTACACTAACTTGTGTAAGGTGCTATCTCATTATAGTTTTGATTTGCATATCCCTGATAATTGAAAAAGACAGTCTCTTCAACAAATAGTGCTGGGAAAACTGGACAGCTACATGCAAAAGAATGAAACTGGATCACTGTCTGATACCATATAGAAACATAAACTCAAAATGGATAAAAGGCCTAAATATAAGATCTAGAACCATAAAACTAGTAGAAAAAAATATAGGCAGTAATCTTGAACATCAACATTAGGAAATGTTTCTGGATATGTCTCCCCAGGCAAAAGAAATAAAAGCAAAAATAAATAAGTTAGACTACATCAAACTAAAGAGCTTCTGCACAGCAAAGGAAATAATCCACAAAATGAAAAGGCAGCCTAATGTAGGGTAGAATATATTTGCACATGATGTGTCTGATAAGGGGCTTATATCCAAAATATATAAAGAACTCATACAACTCAACACCAAAAAACAAGTAATTTAATTAAAAAATGGGCAGAGGACTTGAACAGATATTTTTCCAAACAGACATTCAGGTGGAAAACAGACATATGAATGCTGAGGCCATAATATTTTAAGTCACTGCTTTGAAACCATCAACTGCCTATCACACATTTATTAGCATAGAAAAGTTTCAACTCATTAAGATTACTTTCCTCTCCAGTGATGATCTGACTCTAAGTTTAACTTCTATCTCTATTCTCTAAGACTTTCCATGTCTAGCCACCCAGATTGCTTATAATTTCTCAATATATCTGATGGCCCATGTGTTCTGATCATTTTCCCATCCGTTCTTTCTCAGTTTCCACTGATCATAACTACTTTTTTCCTTCAAAACACAAAGATAACATCGTTCTAAAGTCTTCTGTTGTACTCAAGGCAGAATTAACAGTAACTAATTTACCTACAAAGGAGAAGGGCAAAGAAAAGTATGCCATAATTATAAACTGGATTGTATCTCACTTACTATTATGAGTTAGTGATCATATTGTGTGAAGTCCATAATTCTACTGTTGACACAAGTTTTAAATTACCTTGTATGATTTTGCTGACTTTGCATTATAGTTCAAAACTGATGAAAATAATATATTTTTTCTTTTCAACCAATTACAAAAAATTTCCACCTAGCATCTCACTAGCAAATAATATTAAGTATGATATATATATATATATCTTCTTCATATGATTTAAACAACGCTAGAAGCCAGACTCTAACCTGGTGACTTCTGCAAAGCTAATAGTTTCCAAAACAGTTTTTTTACTCCTGCCTACCTAGTGAAAAAAAAGGGGAGAAAAAGTTCACACCTGTGAGGAAAATACAACAGATGAAAGCAGCAAGTTCATCCTTGAAATGAGAGGAGACACACATAGTATTTCTCATAACAGATTTTTGTCAAGTTTTCAGTTAATAACTATTGGCTATGTTTTGTTTCCAATTTTTAAGGGGCCACAAAATAATCATATTTCCATAAGAGAGTTTTTACACTGTGTCCAAATCTCCAGTGTAGATTTGTAAATACATCATCTCACTTTGACATCGAATTTCACACACTTGATCTGTGCTGTCTCTCCAGCACCAAATCATGATTTAAGAGGCAGAGTTGTTTTCTTCCAATGCACAGCACAGTTGAACATTTCTGCCTTTTCTTTGGGCTGGCTAAGAAGTCTACATCCATCTGCATATTTGCTAGAGGCTTATTTTCTGCAATTCAACACAGTTCTGGCTATTTCCTCTGCACAGTCCATTGAAGTATAATGCAGCAGTTAAACCACAGTGCAATCCGAAAGACTGGGATTTCATTTTTCCTCTGCTACTTAACTCATTTACCCAGTGGAGCAGTGAGTCATTCCTTCAAACTCTATTTCCTCATCTGTCAAATGGGGATGATAATAATTGTGCAATATGGGACTTTTTCTAGTGCTGTTGTGAGAATTAAATGAGATTTTTACATGTAAATACTTCGTACAACCACTGGCACAATGTTTGCTGTTGATGATAATTAAATTCTCACAATAAATAGGAAATACAGGAAAAAACTGTTTAGATCAACCTGATTTCTAATGTGAAAAAAAGTATCACAGAAACTAAATGGAAGCTCACATTTGTATTTGCTAGATTTTAATCTTCAGAAAAAAAAATAAACTGCTTGTAAAATTAATAGCAAGAAGTTTGATTGTAGAGGGAAATTTGTCGGTACTCACAGGAGTAAACTGATTTTACAAATTTCAGAAATCTCAAGTTAAACACTAACATTTTATATGTTAATTACAAATATTTTAAACCATGGCATAAGCAGGATTGAAAGAGATTTTAATTTTCCACAACTGTTTCCTAACCTCGTAGGAGTTTTTACATATATTTAAAACTTAAAACAAGTACACATATGATACAGTACATTAAATAGTTCTATTTCATTATTCATATTTTAAAAATAAAGTTGACCCTCCTCAGACTGCTCTAAAGTCATGATGTTTTACTGTACACAAATTAAACTCTCTAAGGTGTATTTTTACCTCTTCATTTTCAATGCAATTATAGCTTAACTTAGTTTATCACTTATAAAGGAAGGTTTAATGAAATAACTGATCCATTCCAACATTATTTGCATGTCTCCTATTTTTAATTTGCAGCAATTAATACAAAGCATAAATGTTTTAAACCTTAAATCCTATGAGACACAGTTTAATAACCCAATCTATTATCTTGCAAATCTCTAAATGAAATAAGGAAAATATAATCTACCACTGCCAAATTCGATAATACTGATTCATTAGTCACAACAGATAAAATTAGAATCCATTAAATGTGAAGTATTATTTTGATATGCAAAGCCTGTCTTTGAAGAAAAGTGTGCTCATTGTTTCCAATGAGTAAGGAATGGTTCTGTTACTGTGTTCTGTATATTAGTGAGACTTCATTATCATAGCCAGAATTCAAGAGATATTTAATTTAGTTTGCTAGGCTCTTTTCACATTATTAAATAAAAAAGTCAGCTTTTGTTAATATGTCCTCTATTGAAGAATACTAGACATATATTAGTGCAATTACTGACTTTATCATGAAGAGAGAGAAAATAGTCAAGAAGAATGAACTTTATTAAGCAGGACTCTACTACTAGATTATAAACTAGCCTTTAGCTAAAGTTGTATTAAAGGGAAGCTAAAACATATAACACTGCAGTTAAGGGTGAAAGTCAGCTTACCTATTTGGAGTGTGAACTCATCTAACTGCAATTTCCTTGGTGATAATTTTTCCTTTTGTACTTAAATTGTTTTGTACCAAGAACAAGTGGATTGCCAATGCCATTTAAACCGAGTTACTTCTTATCCTTTTGTTTTCTATTTACTTTTATAACCTAAGCATTATTTTAATGACTGAGCTCTTTAAATACATATTTAAATATGAAAAATAAAACTGGGGATGGATCTAGGTTAACTATTAAAACCAGCATATTGTAACACAAGGAAAATGACACCTGGCAGTGGCAAAGGAAGTGGGAATGGCCAGAAGTAGCCTAAAAAATTGGGTAACATAGCTGGGGGAGGATAATGAATGGAATTTAGTGAGTTCAGATCATTTTCCTCAAGATACTCCAGTAATTCCAGGCTAGAGACCTGGGGACAGCAAGTCCTATATTCATGTTGAGCTGCAGGGTGGGAGTTTGAGGCAGCAGAGGATGGGAATTACCATCTGCAGAGAATCTCAGCAATGGCCGACACTGGGGAGGTGCTTTATATGCATTATCTCCTTGAATCCTGATAGCATTCCCATGCGTTTAGTTTTGCCTCTCAGTTGTTTACATGTGGAAAACAGTCTGAAGGAGATTGCAAAACTTCTCTAAGGTCTCCGCTTAGTCTGTTTCACTCTAAAATGTTAGATCACTAAGCCATACAAGCCACCTTTATCTTTGTATACTGAAAGCACAGTTCTCTTTCCTTATTTTTCCTTATTGCTTATGCATTCATCTCATTCAGAAATATTAAGATAATTTTCAAAATTACTGTAACTAAGTGAGCTTTTCTTGAAAAGTAGAGAAAATAAAGAAAAAATGAGGCTATAAAAATATGAGATTAGACATAGAAATGTATGCTCTTAGATTCTATGGAGTTATTAAATGTGGACCTCAGTTCTGACATCTTTGGTACCTAATCCACAAAGGAAAACTGATAATTTTAATGTAGCTCAACTGCTTAGAAAGAAGCAACATTCTTTAAGGCAATGCATTCTGAGAAAAAAATTCTTTCATGGTTTCTCCTGAGGGCACCAATGAATGAGTACACACCATATATTAACAATTTTCCTACAATAAATAACAAATTGTAAACATTGTTTTCTATTGGTTTATATACAACTACAACTGTGGCATATCTCGCACTTTTACTTTTGGTGAGTATTTATTGTTCAGATTTATCATGATCAGATCCAGATTCATCATTAAAACATCAGAAATGTTTGGGTTGGACTAAAGGATTAATGCCCATCAACTTACTCATGGGACTTTTTCCTTAAATTAATCCTTTTGTTAATTCAAAGGACTGCTTGGATTCTGCTTCTGCCATTTACCAGATGTTTGATCTTGGAAAGTTAGCAGCTCACCCCCCTTAGCTTCACCTTCATCATCTTTGGAGGGAGAAGGGATGATGATAGTACTGATGTCATTAGAATTAAATTTACAGTTAACTAAACATTAAACTGTAAAAATGCTTGGTACAGTGCCTGGCTCCCTAATTCCCTGTAGTTCCTTATATGGTGATGAGAACATTTATAACATAGAGAGAGCTGGTTGTGCCTTGATCATCTGGTAAGCATCATAAATCTTAAAAATTCAAGATGAACCTTTTGGTTGAATTAGTACCTTTCTTATTAAGCATTCTTAAAATAGTGCTCTTGTGCTGTTAAAAAAATATTCTCATTCTTCCCAGATAATGTACTGTTTCAGGGATTTTCAGAGGAACACTTGATGTGTTTTAAAATTCATAATGGCTATAACTAACATCAGTAAAGGCTTTCAAAATGACATTATTTTCTTTGTACATTTAGTCAAGTAGTTTTAGCCCAGATTTTCTGATTATCCATTCTCCCCACTGTAAAACCTAGCTCTGCAGAATTGATTGCTTGTAGGAAATGCTTTGTTTCCTTAAAACCTGACAATACAAATTGAAGTGTTCCTTTATACTTCAACAGCAACCTAACTGCAGCTTTAGTGGAATACGTGTTTTGTCCCATATAATACATGCTGGGTTAGTTAGACTCCTTTGATTATAAGGATCACAGACTCAAGTAACTACAAATAATTAAAAGGTAATGTTTGTAGGCATATTTTGCATAAAGAATAAATGACACTGAATTGCATTGCCATATTGTATTGGAATCTAAGAAGGCTGAACTCAGTTAACAGCTATGACCAGGGGAGTCGGGTTTCACGGAACCACACACAAGAGGCTGCTTCCGAGTTGAGGGTCTCGTGGGCCCTGCAGTAAGTGACCGCAGACGGGCTCCTCACGCAGGAAGTCCACTAATACCGTGACCCTGCTACTCTCAGCATTACTGCTTTTCTTTCCGAGCACGCTTTCTCTTCTTTCACCGACAACTGCCTTCTCTTTCAATGCTATTTATCATCTGGCTCTTGTTTACAAATCATGTTGATCTGTTCTTGACTTTGGACCACTTCCTACAGCCGTCTCTGAATGTGCAAACTTTCAGTGTCTGCTCTGTCAACTGCCTCATTCACTGAATTTCTCAGTCTAGTTCCAGAGAGCAAATTAAGTTTTTTCTCATTAGGTTACCTCAACAAGGGAGTATGAAGGGATGAAATTAATCCGAGGATGACTTGTGAATGTGGCTAGCCCAGTGAGTAGCCAGTTTAAGACCCATGTTTAATTTTGTACATATCTCTTTCCCTATTAAATCTTGGCTCTAATGTTGCATAGTGCCTGGCATATATCAAATATTCAGCACAGATTTGTTAAATTTAAATGAGAATGTTAATGAAAAGTGATAAAAGCAAATGAAGCAGAAAATAAAAGAATGGGATAAAAATCTTTTAAAGAAAGAATTAAGTATTTTCCCTATCTTTTCTGTACTTATTCTATTTCAGGGTCTGCAAGTAAGTTTCCCTGGTGGATGCAGGGAAGCCCTTCTTTATAGAAAAATTCTAATAAATGTTGAAGAAATAACATTACAAAACCACAATTTTGTGGTCCTCAGTGGAATAACTGATTCTGAGATGATCACAAATAAATGAAAGCATTACAGGAGAGGGTGATAGAGA